CCAAAATCCAGAAGATTATTAACAAGTATTTCACAAACCTGTATGCAAATAAATTGGAGAATTCAGAGGAAATGGTTTGATTCCCAGATACATATAAATTTCCAAAACTGAACCAAGGAGACCTATAAATCTAAATAATCCAATAATAGGCAACAAAATGAAGCAGTATAAAAACATATCAAGCTAGAAAAGCCCAGTTCCTAATGGATTCACTGCTGAATGCTACAAGAACTTTAGGGAAGACCTAACAGCAATAGTCCTCAAACTGTGTAGTGAAACAAAAGGGAAGGATTACTCTTAACATTATACCTGGAAGCTAGCATTACACTACTTCAAAATTAGACAAGGATGAAACCAAAAGAGAGAACTATAGGCCAATCTCTTTAATGAACCTAGATTCAGAAATTCTTAACAAGATATAGGCAAACAGAATGCAACAAATCATGAAAAAAATCATATATCAAGATCAAGTAGGCTTTACCCTAGGGATACAAAAATGGTTCAACATAAGTAAGTCAATAAATGTAATATATTACATAAATAGAAGCAAGGACAAAAATCACATGATCATCTCATGATGCAGAAAAAGCCTTTGAAAAAATTCAACATCCATTCATGATAAAAACCTGAAGAAAATAGGCATAGAAGGACCTTATCTCAACCTGATCAAAGTCATTTATGACAGCCCTTTAGCCAACATCACATTCAATGAGGGAAAACTGAAAGCCTTCTCTCTAAAGTCAGGAAAACCACAAGGATTTTCGCTATCCTTGATCAACATAGTACTCAAAACATTAGCCAGAGCAATCAGGCAAGAGAAAGCAAAAGAATATGCATAGGAAAGGAAGAAGTCAAATCATCGCTATTTGAATATGACATAATCTTCTACACAGAAAACTCAAGAATTCCATGAAAAGACTCTTAGAATTAGTAATCAAATTCAGCAACATATCCGGATACAAAATCAACTTATGAAAAGAAATAGTATTCCTGTACACCAATAATGAACTCACTAAGAAAGAAATTAGGAAAGCAAAACCACTCACAATAGCATGAAGAAAAATTAAATACTTAGCAATAAATCTAATCAGGGAAGTATAAGAGTTCTACAAAAAATCAAAAACAAATGAACAACAATAAAAAAACTATAGTACTCTGAAAAAGGAGAACAAAAAGAACATCAGAAAATGGAAAGATATCTTCTGTTCCTGGATAGGTAGAATCCATATGCTAAAAATGGCCACATTTTCAAAACTGATATATAGATGTAAAAAAATCCAATAAAAATTCCAACAGCATTTCTCATAGAACTAGAGAAAACAATTCATAGGGAACCCCCAAACACCCAGAATATCAAAAGCAATCCTGGGTAACAAGAGCAAAGCAGGAGGCATCCCCACCCCAGATTTGGAAGTCTATTACAAAGATTCAGTGACACAAATGGCATGGGCATGATCAATGTAACAAAATAGGAGATGCAGAAACAACCCAAGGCACATTTATCTGTTTTATCTTTGACAAAGATGCCACAAACACACTGGAGGGAAGACAGCCTCTTAAATAAGAACCAAGATCCATCATGTACAGGTACAAGCACCCAATGATAAATGTAAATGCATTATATACCTAAAATGTACCAATAAAAGAATTTAAGCAAAAAGAAAAAGTGCTGGGAAAACTGGCTATCTACATGTAGAAGATTTAATATAGGCCCATATTTCTCAGCATGTACTAAGCTAAAATCAAAATAGGTCAAAGATCTAAATGTTAAAACAGAAACATTTAATGTGCTGGGAGATAAAATAGGTACAACTCTTGAAGGCATAGGTAAGGACTTTCTGAACAGAACCTCCATGACACAAGAAGTAGTACCAGAATCAACAAACGGAATCATGTCAAATTAAAAAGCAAAGCAAAGGAAACAACCAGCAAAGTGAGGAGACAACCTACAGAATGGGAAAATTTTTTTGCCAGCTATTCCTCAGACAGAGGACTAATATCTAGAATATATAAAGATCTAAAAAAGAATTAGACTCTCTAAAATAAAAGACTCAATCAAAAATTGGCATCTGAAATGAATAGATTGGTCCAAGTGTTCTGCCAGGGAAGTGGGTCTGAAGGACTTTGTCTTTATGTAAAAAATTCTTTGAGTAGTATGAAAATATGAAACAATTCATGTATTTGATTTCCTTTTTTTCATTTAGGAAATACTAGATACATGCATGCATTTAAGAAAAGGCTGATAAGGTTAGGATACATCATTGACTCCATAGTATTTAGAAACTTTGAATTGCATTCAAGCATACTGACTTTCATAGCTTTTGACATGTCTAAGAAAGAACCACAATGTCAACTATTTGAATTAATTTTGCTTTTGTTCAGGGATTGACTTACAATGGAGACTTGAATGGTTGTAACGTAACCTGTCTGGTATAATCCTGCTTTAACATTTGTCATGGTAATGTAAAAAAAATCAAATCAAACCTCTAGACATAGACACTTCTTGAACACAGACACTTCTTTCACTGATATGAAATTCCCTTAACTGAGAAGTGTAATGGACTTGACTATTAGGAGATGTAAATAATAATATCTCATAATTTTTCAATCACCTGGTAGAAAAATGTTGGATGCTTTTAGAGAACAGAACAGGAGTACAGTGTGTGGGATTATCAACCAAAGTAGATAATTACTTCAAGAATATAAGGTTTGGGTACTTTAGCACAAATAGGTTATGATAAGCAATAGATCTTTGTTATTTGCCATATTTTTGAGTATTATCTCTAGAGTGTGGCCCTAACTTTAATATTCACCCAAAAGTAAAGGTTTATTACAATCCCAGATGCCATGGCCACCTCTCCTTAAGGAGGTATATGGGTCATCCAGGTAAATTTCCTTTTCAGAGCTGACCATACAGAGTTGAGCTGCTTGCTGCAGCTCCTCTATGGTCCTAATTGAGGCAATGGGGGAAAATATAAATTCAGAGATTTGATAACACAGTGTACAAACTCTGGTGTTTAACCTGACCTTTTCGAAGAGAGATGGGCCAAAATTAATTAGAGCAGGGAAGGGGACTTTTTCTGAAGGACCCAGGATCTGAGGGCTTCATTCTATACTCTTCAGAAAAGAGAGATTTGATTTTTCCTGCTGTTTTGCATTATTTTCTACAAAGATCTGATACAGCATGGGAGGGAACAGGGAGAAAGAGGGTTGGGTATGAATCTGAACAATATCCAGACTGAAATTTTCTATTCAGGTCTGCAGTCTCTAAGTGTCTACACCTTTCTTTGGGTCTCAGTAGCTGCTTTCTGTGAATCCATAGAGATGGAGACTTCCAGGAAGCACATTGAAACAGGCTTCAAGGATAAATGCTGGCAGGGATGGCAGGAAAAAGGCATCCATCATTCTCACCTGGCTTCTTCCCTTCTTATGCAGCCTTTTTGCTGTAAGTTGAATGGCCAAGAATAGCACCAGTAAGCTAGTTCTGTTTTTGCTACTGTCACCTCAGTATTGCCATATGGGGAATGGTTTTAAACTTGTGAGGTTTAGAAGCTCTTCTCTTGCTGGCCCCAGAAGTGCTCATCTCAGACTTCAACTGTCCACTTAGGTTAGTGTCATCAAAGACTATTTTGTAAACCTGTGAAACACATAGAATCATTACAAACTTTCTGAGGAGATTATTTTTTTAATTCTGAAGAATTGGTTTTATCCATAAGAGGAGATATTGCCAAAGATATATGTTTACTTTAATTTCGAACTAACTTTTATACACAAAGAACTATCATCTTTCTGTGAGATGCTTTTCCACATCAGTAGAGATCTTTCTACAAATTCTAGAAGTTGAGATGGAGGTCATTCTTTGGTTTTTGAGGAAAAGTCATATTCGGTGGTATCCTCTCCTGTGATGACAGTAATTTTACTGTACTATATTGGTCATTACTATTAGCAGACAGATATATGTAGAAATCACACTTGAGGCAAAATTTCCATGAAAAGTTTAGTATCAGAACAACAACAATGTTGAAGCCACATGCAATAAAGAAATCAGTTACAGAAAGCTACTCATGTAGGTATTTTTGTTATCTTGGAATGGAAGAAACCAATAACAGATAATTTTATTGGTGATTAAATAACTTTACTTATATATAACTATATAGCTTTTTTTTTGAGTGCTAGGAACCTAAGGCTCATGCACAATAGCCACCACTCTACCACTAAGCTATATCCCCAGCTATTTTTCAATTTTTATGTACTATATATGTAATATAAAATTTCCCTTTTTCCTTTAAAAGCTTTCATTAAATTCCATTTGCTACAATTGATATCTTAAGTGTGAAGCAATATATTTTAAGTAGTGGCACTTCCTCAACCAAAGATAATTCATTTATCCATTTATCTGTACATTTAAGAAATATTTGTTAATTGCTGCTAGATTTCTTATACTTTTCCTTGTGTCGGAATAGTATAATGAACAAAAGTTTAATTCTGTACCATCTAAACTCACCTGCATATTATTAAAATGTGTTAATATTCTTCTGATTTTATCCTATAATTTGATTATATGATTTTTCATCAGATCACAGGGTTGCCTAAATGGCTAAATAAGAAAAAGTAAAATTAAAATCTTCTTAGGAATATTATAGTATGGAGTTTCCAAGTAAGCTGATGTGTAGGGTAAAAATAGTTTTATGAAAAATACCAATTATTCTTTAGAATTTCATAGGACCACCTATGAAATTAAAAAATTAAATTTCCAAGACACAGTTAACAGGTGTCTTAGAAAAAAGCCAGAAGTGGAAACACAGCATGGACTTTTTAAATAACAGGTTAATAATCAGCTGAATTTAGTGTCTTGCCCACCAGGGGGTGCACCTTCCTAAAACACACACACACACACACACACACACGCACGCATGCACGCACACACGCTCGCGCGCGCACACACACACACCTGTTTCTCTTCTTTCACATTCATCTTTCACTGAGACGTTAAACTTTTCTTACATTAAGAAGTCAAGATTCATGGACTTTGGAGACTCTGAAAATGAACTGTTCTCCAGGACCAGTGATTGTACTATTCTTAATGATTGGTAAGTAAAATGACACATTAAACTTAGTGTCTTTTTTGATGTCGTGTTTTTGTTCCATGTTGTTGATGCAATTTTTAACCACAATTTTCTCTCAGAGGCACAAGCCATGGTCAGCTGCACAGACATGACATTACCTTATTCTTTTTCAGGAAGAGTCAATGGAGACTCAGTGACCCAGACAGAAGGCCAAGTGACCCTCTTTGAACGAGCTTCCCTAACAGTGAATTGTTCTTATGAAACCAAACAGTATCTGAACTTATTCTGGTACGTCCAGTACCTTGGAGAAGGTCCACAGCTACTCCTAAAAGCCATGAAAGCCAATGATCAGGGAAGAAACAAAGGGTTTGAAGCTACATATGATAAAGCAACCAGCTCCTTCCACTTGGAGAAAGCCTCAGTGCAAGAGTCAGACTCGGCCGTGTACTACTGTGCTCTGGGTGACACAGTGGCAGGGACTGCAGGGGGAGCTGAGCACAAACTCTGAGCAGCAACCAGAGGCCTAGGTACTGAGGGTCTGGCCCTAGGATTCACTAAAGTTTAGGGACCAGGAACTAGTCTATTATTTTTACCTCCTACCACCCACCACCAGCAATATTTTGTGTAACAGTCATCGAAATCAATGCTAAGAACACACCAGAAGAAGTAAATGTGCCTCACACAAGATACTTTAATAGGGAAAGAGAAAAGAGTCCATCACACTAGTTCCTCAACCATGCTAGACATTTGTGACTTTTAAAAGCACAAACCTTCAGGATGACTAAAATGGTCTATGTTTATCCTCACATATAATTTTATTTTCTTGGCCTGTTCCAAGTCATTCAGTGAAATGTTTTCTATAGAGGCACAACTGTGGCATATGAGACTGCAAATGCTTAAAGTCCTTTCCCAAGATGGGGCAAGAAGAGGGTCATTCTGAGGGTAATTCTTCATCTCAAGAAATAATTGTTTCATAACAAAGGAAATATTTAGAGGAAGGGGGAAAGATAGGGTCCTACAAGTGATCACATCTTTGGAAAGAGATGATGGAACATTTCTTAGTTTTGTTTTGGGGAAATTACATGATATAAATACAGTGGTGTTCTCCAAAATGGGTTACTTATGATCCAAAACTGTAAAGACCTCTCATCCTCCATAATTTCTCACTGAGATAGTTTTTTATCAGCAAGAAATTATTTGGGATGGAATGGTAGTATTTAGGATCTGAATAAGGAAAATTATCTAGTGACTGGGGCTGGAGGGAATCTCAGTTTCCTCAATATCTTTCCAGCTATTTCTCTGACAGGAAGAATAGTTGGAGTGGGAAATAGTTGCAAGGGCTATGAGAGAGAAAAGTTGGCAAATCAGAATCTTATTTAGTTGCAGGAAACTTGATGTCTTTGCAAATATTGGAGATTTTATTTTGCCTCACCTGTTGTAAATCCTTAATTGATGTCAGTTTATTGGCTCATAAATTTTATTGTCTTATATGGGTCCTTGGGCAAAAAAAGTGCGTGTGAAGGGATACTAGGCATAGTTCCCTGATGCAGAGGCTATAGAAGAATGCCCCTCTGTGGATTACTGACCTTGTCATTGAGGAGACCTTGCCCATAACTCCTTCATTTTCATTATTTTCCTTTCTTAGTGCTCTGCCTTACCTTCTTATTTTTAAAGAGGACTCCATTCTAGGTCTTTTTCGTTAGTTGAGCACAAAACTCACAACATAAATAATTTATGCACATATGGTACAAACATCATTGTAAGTCTGTGGCTCACAAATCACATGTAAATTCCAAATTATTATGATTGGCAGTGCATTATGAAATTTCTTGCAAAGTCTGTTGGTGATTGGTCACAGTGCATTTTGTTATTTAGGTCATACACAGATAGCAAAGCATATAGTTGCGTTACTTCTTTCTGTCTCAGTGATAAGCTTGTGTGACAACATACTACCCAAATGGAAAACTGAAAGGGGGAACAGATCAATCAAGCTGAAATGGCAGAGAATAATTGAAAAGTGATAATATTAAAAGTTAAATTCAAAGTGAATATAAATAAAGTTATAGAAGAAATAGTTGATCATGGTCACATTGACATTGCTGCCTCCAAGAAACTACATATCCAATTGGTGAAAACAAACCTAGCAACAACAGTGAAGAAGGTGGTTGTGATGAAAAGGATGAGGCAGTCCAAGATAGTGACACCACTGCAAAGCTTCATATTAAAGCAATATGTAACAACTGAAATGTAACAGCAACAACATTACAAAATGCTTATGGGTAAACATAAGTCCAAATTCTCATGACATTGTATTGGGCAAATTTATCTTAGATATGACATAAAAAGACCAAGAAATAAAATAAAAATGAATTAGCCTTTAAAGCTCATCAATAAAGTGAAAGGACAACCCCCAAATGGGACAAAATATTTGAAATAATGTATCTGATAGGATGCTTCCAAGAAGAATGTAAAAACACCTCTCACAAGCCAGCAATAAAAAATAAGCCAATTAAAATTGGCAAAGGATTTCAATAGACATTTCTCCAAAGATGATATGCAAATGGCCAAAAAGCACACGAAAAGATAGTAAGCATCATTAGTCTATAGGAAAATTTAAATCAAATATAAAATGAAAATCACTTCATTATCACTAAGATAAATAATATAAAAGACAGCTAACATGGCCAGATGTTGAAAAATTGGAATCTTCATATATTTCTGGTGAGAATGAAAAATGTGGGTGTATTGGAAAGCAGGAATTCTTTTCCTATTTATACACCAAAGAGAAATGAAACCATGCATCTATACAAAAAGTTATTCAAAGATGTCAGTGTCAACATTATTCATCATAGCTAAAAGGTAGGAATAACCCAATGTTCAACAGTTGGTGAATGGAACCATAAAATGTGATATATCCATAAAGTGGAACTTAGTAAAATGGTGGAATAATATGATAAATGTTACAGCATGTATAAAATTTGAACTATGCAAAGGCAAGTGGATGATACCAGACACAAAAGGTCACATAATATCTGACTGGTTTATGTATAATGTCACATACAGATAAATCTCTGGAGATGTCAATTTCAGTATATATTTGGACTTCTAATTGCCTAGGTGCCAGGGGTGGAGGGAAGAGAAATGAGTGTGAAGGCTACTGGGTATGGAGTTTTCTTTTGTGCCAATGAAAATGTGTTAGAACTGATTTGGTTGATGATTTAACAGGTCTGTGAAGATACTAATAAGGATTGAAACATACACTTTAAATGGCTGAACTGTGCGGCTGGTAAATTATATTTCAATAGAGCTGTTAAAAATGTAAATCTCTAACTAGATAAAAACATGTGGTATGTCTGGGCACTTTAAAAGCAAAATCAAGTAAAGGAAATAATTTCTAGTGGCTCAGCCTTCCAGCCCTACTCACACTATACCTACTTCTTGTTGTCTCTGTTAATTACTGTCTTTGGATGAAAGCCCTACTCTCTCTTGCCTGAAGCTCTTCCAAGCCTCCTTACTGATCTTTCTTCTCTTCCCCTTGCCAGATTGAAGTCTGTTTTAGAGACAGCAGAAGAGTATTCTTTTACAACATAAGATTAGTGTGTGATGTTCTCTCAGAGCAAGGAAACATCAGCAAGAAGACAACCTTCCCTCAACCTATAATTTCTTGTAGTACAAAGAATAAAAACCAAAGCTTTCGAATGGATTTAAATGCTGTACATGGTCTGGATGCTGTAAATAAGGATACCTACTTATTCCCTTCTCTTTCTTTTCTGCCCACTCTCCTGCCCTGAGATTTATCCTTGGAATATATACATGGCTTCCCTTTTAATATTTGCTCCAATCTCTGCTCAGCAAGGTCTTTCTTAACCACCCTGGAGCAGCACATTTCATTGCTTGATGTCTTTCAGTTTCTTTTCTTCTTCTAAAACTATGTAGATTTAAATACTTATTTCTGAATAAATGAATGTTCACACATAGTTCTCCTTAGTTCAATAGATTTTATACTTTACAAGAGAAGAGATTTTAATTCTTATTCATTGCTGTGCTCTCTATAAGTAGAATTGATTAACAAAATCTCTTGTTTGTTGAACTGATGAGTGAATTTGAAAACCTATTTACTGATACCACAAAACCTACCAATTGTGTATTAGATGAATTTTTTCCCTAAGGAATTATTTATGCCTACTTTGTGCCATATCATATTCTAGGAAATTGTAGCAAACAGACAAAATTTTCCTGGGGCTGTGGGGGGAGCTGAATACAAGTCACCCTTGGTAGTGAAGTTTTCAGACACTCAAGATCTCTTCCCATGGTCTCTTAAGGGTCACCTCTTATATGATGGCAAATGGGGGAACAGAGGCTGAGCAGACCCAGGTTTTTGTACAAAATTCTGCTTTTCCTGATGCAATATCTTATATCTGATAAGCTTTGCTTTATATACTTTTTACTCATTGTCAGAACTATATACTATTAAATAGTATTATAGAATGATGAAAGAGAGCATGTTCTTGTCTACAATAATCAGGTACTCAGGGACTTGCCTAGAGATTGCCTAGGTGACTGTGTGAGTTGGGACATGACCTAAGACAAGCTGTGGTTTTATTTATCTTTAGCCAACACAGAAAACAAAACAAAACAAAAAAACTGAACAAGTTCCTCATATTCTGTCCCTGAAAGTATGCCTTCCTATCTAGCTGGCTATTCATAGGTGATTTTCCCGACTCTAATTGTGCTGATCACAATATATCAAAATACTTTAAGTACGTCTCTTTAAGGAGGAGTCTGACACCTTATTAGTCAACATAGGGATTGATTAAAATTGTGGAGGGCTTAGAAAACTTGGGGGGGGGGCTTGGCCAGAAGTATGTATGAGATGGATACACAAAGGTAAGAAACTTTTGGAGCCACACCCCCAAAACTCCCTGAATGCAGTTAGAGATTAAAAGAGAGTCTATAAGGGCCATAAGTCCAAGTAGGACCAAAATACATTGCCTTAAGGAATGAATGCTCTGGCCTTTCTCCTCCCCATATGTGGATTTATTATTTAGATTGGTCCCAAGGTCAGTCATTAAACACACCACCATGATCTTCTGCTGTACTTCCCTTGTTCCTTACAGGAGTAGATGCCCTTCATTTTTCTTTTATTTTTGCTTCCTGGTTCTATCAATAAAAGGCCACAGAGGCTTCATGTGGGGCTATTGTTTGAGACTTTCTCATGCTGAGGGGTATTAGTTAATGGCAGCCCCATCTGGGCCTTCTCAGGGTTTGGATTGGGTACTGAGTAATCCTTTGTTTCTTCCTTTGTGCCATGCCATGGTCATGAACTGTGACAGAAAACTGTCATAGTCATGTCAGTTTTGGCAGCTATTTTAGGTAGTACAGAAAGAGAATGAAGATTTAGAATTCACCAGTATTTCTCCAAAGATTTCTACATGGTTATAAAAGTAGTGATATAGGAGAATAGATGTAACTCCTCAACCTGATAGATATCCTAAACACAAGTTTTTG